GAAGCCCCTTCCTCACTTCGTGGATTGACCAAACACTTGTCTGGCCTGCCCCAAAATGTACAACTGGCAGGTGCTTGCTGACCTCCCCTGCATAGGCTAGTTTTCATAAACCGCCAATCCCTGCTCATTCGCCCTTCACAAAGGCCAGACGTTTGGGAAATCAAATTTTGCCTCCGCAAACTGGAAACAGGGAAAGCCCTGGTTCTGGGCTGAAAGTTGAGTGTCCAACCGCTCACAACGCCCTGAGTTCAGCACGCCCCCACTTCATGCGATCGAGTTCATTGGAAAGCGGGATGAGTGCGTGCGAGCGCGACCTACTCGAGTCGCGACCTTGGCGCTTGGCTCCACGAGGTGATTGAAAGGGCCTCAACGCCTAACATCCATTTAAAAGTTGCTTTTTGGCCCCCAGAACTGTTTGCTGGTTGAAAGGGAAAATGAAGAAAACCCAACAGAGCACTTCCATTTGCTGAAGGCCCCTGGTAAAAAAATAAAAAGACAAAACAAAAACACAATATGTCCAGTAGTCATAGATTCCCTCAACCAACAAGGGAAAACAACACATATTCATTTCAGCAAATGGAAGTAACGGACCTCCTTTGCCGCAAGGCTGGGTTTTGAAATTGGAGACCCTCCAAAATGGCTTGCCTTTGCTTTTTCTTTCAAACAGGTGCCAAAGGGTATTCTCAAAAAAAACAAAACACACACCCAGAGACCGAGTCTACTGACCATCGTGGCCGCCTAGTAGGTTCTCAAGAGAGCCGCGTCCGGTAGCAGGTCGCACGTTTCGGCAGATTTTTTGCCTGGTCCCGCGAGGAGATAAAAGGAGAATTCGGTGCTTGCCTTGAAAACTGGTTTGACCCCTCCAAATGCTCAGTTGGAATTTGGGGACCCATGTAAAAATAATTGACCTTTTGGGGGCCATTCAAACTGGACCAAAACAGGAGAAGCCAAAAGGTCAAGAAGCCGATTCGGAAATTTCAGCAAGCGAGCATGAGTCGCTTCTTTCCTGTGGGTAAGGGTGTGCACCAACATTATCGCAGGACGTGGGTGGTTTTGTTTCAAGATTTGTTCAACTCGAAGGGTCCGATCCATGGATTCGGGGCCTCAACTTGTGTCCTTTGACACCCCTAAAGCACTTGAGGTATGGGGACCCGGGGATTGCACACTAAGCCCCGGGACCCTTAGGGAAGTGACCCTGGCCACCTTCCCAAATGACCAGGAAGCTGTTTAAACAAGCGTCCCCATACCAAAAACCAACTCCTTGGGAACTCCGTTTTCAGGAATGAGCCCAAGTGGAACCCTGATCCCACCTGTGCTTTCCATCAATTTGACTTCCGGGGTTCATCTGTTGGCAATGCGCAGTAGGAATCATAGGCTTGGCTAAACAGAATGGGCTAACATAGATGTTCAGATCAATCTTTAGACTTTCGCCTTGACTAGGGATTTCAGGAAATTTGACTTTTGCGGAAAACTGCACTTAAGGCGAAAACACAAGTCCAGTTGGGCCTTCAACAGGGAAAGTAAGGCCCTCATCAGGTCTGTTTAGGGGAACCGCTGCATCCAACAGGAACGGATGGAAACTCGGGTTTTGAAGCATTCTGCAAATGCTTAAAGGACAAGCCCCGTGTTAAACTTCCCACGACGTCAAAGACCACAAAGCAAGCCGAGCAAGCCAAACCCCACAAGGCCACGTACATCACTCGGCACAAGCTGCCACTTTCTGCCTCAGCTGTTGCCCATAACATCTAATGTCCGGTGCATATTCAATGAAGTTTAACATGAAACCAAATCCCAGTGTGGGATTGCCCGACATGCTTGGCAAACCTGGAAATAGCAAGAAGGTCGATGCGCGCGCACACCAAAGCAACCGCCGCCCTACTTCTGCCTTACCCCCCCTACCCGTCATTGCCACGACAAAACTTGAATGATGCATTGTCAGAGCCGGCGCCAGCATGCGCAACATGGACTCCCAAGCCTGTTTCCATGCCCATTGCTGGGTCCAAACACATGGGAGTACTTCAAAGTTTGCCGAAATTGAAAGGGGAAAGGTTGCACATGGTTGCATTTGCTCCGGCTTCCATATTCGTATTTCAAACAAAACACACTACAACGGAATCCTTCACCCTGCTGAATATGTGAGCTAAATAACCACTGGCTTCTCCCTCAGGCCCTTTTGATAGGGGGATCCTCTTGCCAGTGTGTCAAACTTTGCTGGTTCTCAGGGAATGAGAGAATGACCCCTAAAAACTATCCCTACTGTGGATGGACGAAATCCTGCGCCACTTTGAAACCATGGGAAACCATTGTTTGTTGGTTTGTACAGGGGAATCACGATTCTAGGGTCTCTTGGGTGGTGCCTTTCCAAGGATTTCGTCCATCCACAGTATGGTTTCCCTAAGCGAATCCCGTTCATTCCCCAAACCCCGGGAGCACCAAGAAAGAGCTCAAGGCTGTTCTTCAGTGAGGTTCGGCTTGTCGGATCGTGGCGCAGGTGCGCCCAAATAGGTGGGCTTCGTCGCTACGCAACATTGGTGTTGCGGCCCGGCACGTGGATAAGTCCAAAAGACTTGGTTGCCCGAAAAAAACCCGCGAGTACATGGGCCTTGACGAAATATGGGCAAAAATGGGAACACAAAGAGGTCATTTCAGGCCGATTCGCTTTTTCAGCGAGAACTAGAAGTCACGGCAGTGGCGAAACCCACAGATCAACAGATCAAAGCTCGAGGGCCTAGCCCAGGCTGTGATGTGCAAGCTTCTCCCCCATCGCGCAGACTTCGCGCAGAGGTCCACAGGCCCACCCCGGTTTCACATGGGTACTTGCTTTTCTGAGGCTACCCGACCAAAACAAATCGGTCGTTTCAAAAGGACAGTCCCCCTCCCCCATTTCGAGACACACCCTTTTGAGTCAACATGTTTCGACCCCAAATTAAAGATTCAAGTCACCTGCTCAAAACTAATTGCCCTCATAACTCATGGTGCTCTCAAGGGAAACCCCCCGGACCAAACTAAGTTTTGAGAACCCCTCAAAAGCAAACATGTGAAGGGTCTCTAACGCGCCGGGCCGCTCGCAAACTGTAGATGGTGTGTTTGTTGGCTTTTGGTGCATAAAGCGAGGCGCCAAATCTGGCAGCGTAGTTCTTGCTTGTTGCTGGCTTTGTTGCATCTCCGGGCTGAACATACCCTGCGCAAGTAGCGTAAGCTGCTTGAAAGATGCAAAGAACAATGGAGAGGTGCGAATCCGAAGAGTATAAGTCAAGGTCATCCCAAGAAACATCAACTGCCTCATTTTAACCGCATACTAATCAAACCTTGTCCATTGTTATGGGTCTGCTCCCCTCCAAAAGTGGAGGGGAATCCCCACTAAACCCAGAAATGGACACCCCCATACCAAACAGGGGTTGATGAAGAGGGTAAACATCACTAACCGCTGGCGAGCACCTCCGATTCCTGACCAGGTTGCGCGAGCCTCCAATAGTCATGGGGAAAGGGGGGAGGGAGGGGGAGAGGGAGGGAGGGGGGGGGGGAGCCCAAATAAGCCCTTGTTAAGCCTAGTAAGTCTTTATTTGGGGCTCATTTGGGTTCCCCCCCCCCCCCCCCCCCCCAGCCCCCATGAACTAAACCTATTGAAACCCCACCTCGAGAAACGGAGGTGCGAGTCCCGTTGTGACTCGTGCGTGCGTTTGGGCCAGGTGTTGCTTCGCAGGTTGGTGCTTTTGGCCACCTGGCTTACTTTTTCAAGAAGCTCCTTCCGTTTCGTCATTTCATCACTTCCTGAGGATTGGCCAAGTAGAGTCTAAAGTCCAAAGTCTTTGTACCCTCTAGATTCCGCTAAAAGGCTTGAGTGGTGACGCGGTCTGTGATACTGCGTATATATTCAAAGGTGACACAGTCCGGAACATTGGGCAGTGTACAACATGTATATTCATTTTGTTTATTTTCCATGTTGCCCGAATCTGCAGGCACATGCTTGTTGAACACACGTGAACACACACACACACGTGAACACACACACACACACACACACACACACACACACACACACACACACACACACACACACACACACACACACACACACACACACACACACACACACACACACACACACACACACACACACACACACACACACACACACACACACACACACACACACACACACACACACACACACACACACACACACACACACACACACACACACACACACACACACACACACACACACACACACACACACACACACACACACACACACACACACACACACACACACACACACACACACACACACACACACACACACACACACACACACACACACACGCACAATTTGCTGGACAAATCTCAGGACAACGTCATTCTGGTTCTTGCTTGACCGCGCCTGCTGCATCTTGCCATGACAAGTGCCGGCCAGAGTTTGATGCTTAAGTTGTCTTAAGTTCATTTCAGGGGAACACCTCGACAAAAAGGGAAAGGCCGCTGGGCCAGGTGTTGCCTGCTTCCAATTCTCAACCTCTCGTGGACCACAATGCCGCGAGCATCTAAAACTACGATGGGGGAGAAGTGCGGCGCTGCAAGGCCCCATCAAGAATTCAAATCTTTCCTGAACGTTGCGCTGCCTTTAGAATTGCTCGACACCTCATTGGGTAAGAAACTGAGCACTGACCGAAGCCCCGCCTCTCAGAAAGATTGGTTTGCAACTCATTCTGCGCAAACCAACACGCATTTCTTATGGGTGGGCAAACCAAGCCAGTTGGGGACCACCGCTCCAAAAAACTTCCCGTGTGGCCAACTTCCTTCAGACCTCAAACTCACTGGGATCGCACAAAGCAAGCCTCGTGTTGTCCCCAAGTTCTTTCTACGAAAACTGGATCCAGCTTGGGCGGGAAAGCAAGTGGGTTGTGTCCAGCTGGATTTTTAGATTTGTGGCAAACTTTTGAGAGGAAACATCACAGAAATTCGCAGAGGGCAGGTGGGCCTCGGGTTCAGTCACTGCTCTAGGAGATTGAAGACATGAAACTGGGCTCTGAGAGTATTCTCCGAAGACTGCGCTGCTCGCCCTTCATCTCAACGAAAGTGTTCTTCACCTGCGAGCTCGAAGAGAACACCGCACCAGGAAATATCAGGTGTGTCAACCGTTCACGTGCTTGACTCAGGATCAAATCAAACAACAAAAAAACAAGGAAGCAACGGGGGCCTGGAACACTGGACAGCTGGCCAAAACCAAGCCAATCAAAAACCAACAGCGGCAAACTAACAGGTAGTTGCCTCAAGTAAAATCAGCCGGAAGCTAGGAATCCCCAGGGAAGTGGCTAGAAGTTATAGCTTCGATTCATCAGCCGGAGCCCGCACATCGCTCGCTGCGTGCACTCAAGCACTAGCCATTCATCAAACCACCGACTGACGACAAGACAGACAACCGGACAGACAACCGGACAGACACTCCCACAAAAGGGTCAAAGGGCACTACTGGGGGGCAAAGTTTAGGTTAGAGAATTAGTTTGAACCCCTGGTTCTTGTAGAGGGTAAATGAGAAACCACTCCTAAGCACCAAACCACAGCTTCGTGGGCAACTGAGAGACAAAGACAAAGACAAGCAAAACAAAACTAACGTGATCAAGGAGAAGCGTCAGAGGCTAAAAGCGCTCGGTCGCAAAACCGCACAGCCGGAGGGGAGGGTAACTGGAGGGGCTAAAACGTTTGCAGAACCCGACATGTGGTTGACTTGTCTTGTGGACAAATTACCCGCTTCCCGTTGATTTGGCAGCTTTCAATTTGTGGCTTGGAGGCTAGAGAGTTAGCCTCCCATTTGGTGCCAAGAACAACCAGGGGTTGAAGCCCTCGAGCCACCAATCCATACCATGTAGGGGTACAATGAAGCAACACTCAACCAAACGTCATGCAACATTTTTTGGGTTGTCTCGACCCATCAAAGTCTAATCAGGCTGATTTCCGGCGGAATGAGCCCCGCAAATGGCGCGGGCGCAGAACACCGGTTTACCGACCAGGGCTTGGTATGTTACGAGCCTGACCCCGCGCTTCTCCAACGCTGTCAGAGCTATTCAGCTGCTCCCCCAAAAGGAGACTCCTCTCACACTGATGGCTTTCGGGGTTCAAGTCGAAGACAACTGATTGAGGTTTTTTAGGGAACTCTTGACCAACCTTTACCGATATTCGTATACAGACACGTGAATACTTATGACTATGTAATTCCATATGCACTTATAGTTGTATATATATATATCTATATTTGTACTTTGTAGTTGCATATATATTTATATAGAGATATATCCATATTATGTACGTGCATACAAAATACACGAATATCAAGTAAACAATATATTAGAGATGACGGTTGTCTGAAATTCGTTGTTCTGGAAACCGCCATCTTCGCGACAAAAAAGCTTTCGCGGACCACATCGCGGGGCTGTTTTCAGCACATTCATCACAAAAGTAGTACACGAAGTAGTACTAAAAAAGTAAACTTCCGCAGCCGGCTTGAATACGAAAGTAGTACACGAACTAAACTTCCTCAGCCGCGAGAGTCAAAACTTTTAAATACGAAAGTAGTACGCACAGCAAACATCCGCAGCCCAGCTCGAAAGTCGCAACATGTCGCAACCTTTCAGTTCCAAAGTAGCACGCGAAAAGCGCTCTTCCGAGCTCCAGCTGGTCCGTCGACTTTCGCGAAACTTTCTTTGATCTTACGCCAAACATTCGCGAAATAGTCTGCGAGCATTCTGCGCGCACTGCCGGCAAATACACACGGTTCATCATTCCAGCTTCTTGTTAGCAAGCCACCCTTACACAAAACTTTCGCGGAACAAACATAACTTTCGCGACCCCCTTCGCGGAACTTTCGCGGAGGTCAACGCTAAGACCAAAAAGTCGTCCCCTTCATAGCTCAATACAAGGTCCTTTCGGACGACTCTCACATATGCATATAATGTTCATGATGCTGTTTGCAACTGGTAGTTTGAAGTACGATGCGTGCAAGCAATGCGCCGGAGCCAGTGACAAAAAATAGACAACTCAGAAAACTGGCAGGAAGAAACTGCTCCCTCCCAGAGTTTGGGTTCCATCCGGCTTCCTCCACTTGGTGAAGCCTTATAGACAGCGGGATGAACCTCCCAACCGCTGCGAAGTGGCGTTCGTCCATCCACAATCATTCAATAGCACGCCCCTGGGAAACCACGATGCACGGCGCTACGTCCATTCCCTGCTGCAAGTGGGGCCTCAAACAAGTCGAAACCTCGTGGCTGGATCACTTCCAATTTAGCTTTCCCACCCTTGAAGCGGGCACCGAGCCTTAAAACGAGCCACAATCAAGAATAAACATCATTGTCTCATGGTAAAGACTTGTTCTGGTCTCAAAATAGCTCATAACCCCATTGCCACTATAGCTTAAGCCCGCAGCATGGGCTGTGCTCCAAGATCGGCAACTTCCAAATCTAGCAATCTCGGCCTGGATCTCTGCGTCGAAGAGCCGTGGCACCTCGCGTTTTGCGCTTGCGAAATGTCCGAGTTGAATCCAGTTTCCTGGGTTGCTCCTCTCCCCTGAAGGGGAACGATATTATTGCGTCCTAGGCCTAACGCGTCTAGGGGTTGCTCCAAAGACCAGCCGTGGGATATCAGCAAACCTAGTTTGCTCCTGGAGCCAAGGCCCGGCTATCAAATGTTTGTGGCCATTGCCCCCGGTGAAATTGTTGCTTGTCACTTTTTGTTGGTCAGTGGCTAGAGATCGAATCAAGTAGCAACAAGAAATGGTTGTCAACTGACCTTTGGGAGATGTTGGGGTCAGTTGATCCATTGGGTGCGTCCTGGAGAGAACCTACAAAGGGCTTCTTGCAATGAGGGTCCCTCAAACTGCCTGGAGATTCCGATGCCGAGGAATTCCTAGGCGTTCTGGTTCTCAAGGCGTTTTAGGTGTTTTAGGCGCTTTGCTTGTTGTTACGCTTTTTTGCGGGCATTTGCCCCTTTTTTGCGGTCGTTTTGCGGCAATTTGCGGGTGTTTCCTGTTTCTAGGCGTTTGCGGTAATTTGCGGGCGTTTGCGTCCAAAACAGGGTCAATGCCGAGAATGACTAGGAATTCCTTGACGTTTGAATCTCCATGCAGGTGAGTGCTTTTTTTCTGGTTTCTCCACCGCGCCAGAAACGCACAACCACAATTTGCCCAGGCCGTCCTAGGAAAATAACCTTTTTGCAAAGGTAAACCCGCTGCTAGAAGAGAGATGTGGATCTTCAATTGGTGGTCGTCCGTTTTGGTTTCCCTTTAGCCAATCCCTTTAACCAAACCCTTTTTGCTGGTCAGGTAAAGCAAGCATTAAGTACAGTTAAAGTGTAAGATCAAAGCAACGCACTTTCTCCTGAGTGGATTTGCCAAATCAAGTCCACGAAGATTGTTTGCCAACACAGGTCTTCCCAAAACAATATGAATGCCGAAAACCCAGGGAGTGAGTTGAAAAGAAACAAACACCCGCCCACCAATTAACATGGAACCTGACAAGGAAGTCCCGGTTACCATGGTCCCTTTACTGGGACCCCCGAACGTCAGGTTCCATGTTCACTGGTGGGGTAAATCCCGAATGAGCCTTCAAGTTCCCGAAGACCTTCCGGGTTCAAAGGAGTGGCGTTTTGATCAAATCGGGAGGCGAGGCTCTGCCGGTGCCTCGGGTGAGAAGTGTTTGGCAAGGCGTCTGTCTCCATCGCTTTGGCTTTGCCCTTGAGATCTGATTGATAGCACCTGCCTAAAGGTGTCACTTGTTGCAAGTTAGTGGGTGAAGTCATCATGTATCGACTGAAGTTAAAGCCGAAAGGCAATCCAGCCAAGAGAAGCCGCGCAGCCAGGACTTCCCCCTTTCCCGCCTCGACCTCCCAGAGTCTGACTTCGGGATCGCCAAGGCTGGCCGCGTCGCTGGCGACGCTGGCCGCGTCCTCGTCGCTGTGCTCCGCTTCGGCGATGGGGCGGCCGTCCTCCAAGGTGGTCTGCCGGCTCCAGAAGGACACGTCGAAGTCATCCGCAGCCTTCGCTGGGCGCGCACGCGCCTAGTCTCAACCATTTGCTTCCCGCAAGGGACAAGGAAACCCAAGGCAAGAAAAGAGAAGGTGAGCTACGTCTCGAAAACACGGCGCGCGCCCAGTACTTCCCAGGCGACACAGGAGGTATCCTTTGGCATAAAAACGTCCCTTGATCCCTTTCAGAAAGTTTAGCTTTCAGCAAGACATGACATAATTCCCTCCAAACTCTCAAAAACTGAAAGTGGTACTAAAATGGTCTACCCAGAACCATGTACAGGATTAAGAAGGCGGCCGCAGCTATTTATGGTTGGGATCGTCCCTTACTAACCTTCATATACCCGGGTTTTGATTGTGGCTCAGCTGGGAACCGCCAAGAGTTCCAATGCGTCCAACACATCTAACATGTTCCTGGAAAACACCGCACATCCTCGACGCCGAATTGCAAGCTCAAGCTAAGATAGCCACAAAGCTCCAACAAATGCGTTGCAGTGGCCCGTTCTTTGGCGCGAGTCGCCAGTTCTTCTTGGGCTTGATTTCTACGACAAACTTGCGCAGGTCTACAACCTGCGACTTCTCGGCAGGGAATGAGGGAATGAATGCCTTTTCATTCCCTGAGATCCAGCAAGTTTGGTGGGAATCTTCTTACTTGCCACATTTCCAGGGATTCGTTTCAAAAAGCAAATGCAAAGGAACCAGGCGGATTGTTGGAAAGAACGGCTATAACCAATCTAAAAAATAGCCCAGCCCCAAAAAGAAGAAGTTCCTTATGAAAGAAACCTTCATGGGTAGCGTCTCAAAAATCCGGAACGCGACGCCGCCAGATTCTGCCTGGAAAGAATGAACTTGGCAATCCCAACAACTGGATGGCTCAACCCGCCACAATCAACACGCCTAACTCCTTGCAGGTTTGGCAACGCTTGCTTGGTGACTTCCACCAAAAAAGGCTCGAGCCTAAAAAGCAAATTCCACTTGTTTCATACTTCGGCCCCCCAAGTTGGCTTCCTGTGGCTTCCCTTTAACCACCAAAAACAAAAAAGGGGTTCCCCCCAAAGACTTCTTCAACTCGTTTCCGTCACACCGAACCGGCAAGCCGCAGGACTGCTGCAGTTAATTCGAAGGCACAGCTTTCACCTCCAGGAGCCTCTGAAGCTTCAAGGGTGAAGGCTTGGCCTGAGCCAACATCTCCAACCGGGTGGATTCACCAAACATCCAGGGCGTCATTCCTCCACAGAGCCAAGCAGTGACCAAGCCTTTCCTGGAGCCAAAGGAAAAAGGACTTGATTCCAGGGGTTCATTCCTGTTCCATTCTTTCCAACCATCGTTCTTCTCAAACACCGATCGCTGTTTCAAAAACCGGTTCTGATGGTTTTCTGGAAAGAATGGAAATGGAAGTGTCCCCTAGAAACCAACTAGGTTGACGTTGAAGGGGAGGAAAAAATCAACTTTAGCAGTCAAGTGGGGATTTCCCACTAAACCACAATAAGCAAAAATGTAAAATGTGTCCCAACAACAACCATGACAAGTTCAAACTGCTTCTTGCGACAAAAAAAATGTTCTCCACAATAAGTCCAAAGTCCAGGAACTGGGGAAGTGAGACTTAGCTTCATCCAGGAGGGTGTTCGGTTCTCCGAGGGCAACCAGTCGACTCAACGTGAAAGGCCCGAGACATAGGATTCAAATTGCTGGCTCATTTTAGCTAACACCATGGGAACTCAATTCATGGGTCCACTTGGTCAATATCCAAAGAGAAGAGGCCGAGGTGACATGAAGATTGTATCTTTCTCAGGGTGCAGGTGAAAAAACCACCCTTTGTTTTCCCGTCGCCCAACAAACAAGACTAGGTCCTCCAGTAGAGATGTTATAATAAGGGCACCTTTTTCTGTAGCCTATTTTAGTCGAGGAACCCTCCCCAAAAAAGATTTGCAGAAGGGTACTACTGGGGGACCTAGAAAAAAAACCGGAAGAACCCATCTTGAAGACCGTCTCCTCCGAAAACAGAACAAAAACGCAAAAGAACAAACAAAGAAAGAAACAACATCCAAACACGAAAAAAGAGGAGAAACACGGGAAAAACAAAACTGAAGACCGTCTCCTCCGAAAAGAAACAGCAAAAACCAAAAACCGGAAAAACAAGAAAAAACAAAAAACACAACGGAAGAACGAGGAGAACAAAAAGAAAAACAACCTCCGCCGCGGCGCCGCGGACACCTCCAACTCTGCTTTGCGCTCGCCTTTGCGCCCCAGCTTGGCGGCGGAGCCGGGGCGGAGCTCGTGCCTAGCGGACACGTCACTCCCAGCCGGCAACCCTCCGCAAAAAGTTGAAAAGTCTAAAGATCCAACCCAATAACAGTCAAGTCAAAAAGGGTCCCCTGCCAGCTGATTTAGAGGATCCCCGGGGAGATTCCCATATCTTCATTCCCACTACACACTGGCGGCGTGCCAAATGGTTGGGTTATGAACGGGGTTTTGAACCTCGTACTTCCTGTAAGTTGGTTTTACTGGATATACAACCCTTATCAACCAGAGCATTTGGCGGCCAAGCAGATTCCATGCGTCCACTCTTCCCACCAAACTTGGCAGTAAACAGTATTCTTCATGTATGTTTCGAGCCCAGTTTACAAAGGCTCCCGAAATATAAATGGAACCTCGAACTCGGAATCCTTCGGGGCACCCGTTGCTGTACAATTACACCAGGCTGAAGGTAGATGGCATTCCCTGCATATGGGTGCGAGGTTTAATGGAGGACCCTTTGGTGAACATCATTCAGGTGATTCATGTCGACAAACCAACTGTGAGGTTGGTTCGCGGCAAGTAAAGGGGGAAGCGTGCCATCTACTTTGACCCGGTGTGCTCGCCACTGATCGACATCAAATCCGGTGGATTCGCTTTGAGCAAGGCGTCTGAGTCGCATGCCAGTGGGGAACCATCTAAGGGGCTTACTTGGGTGGCCCAGCCCGATGGCACAACCCCGGGCAACAGGCTGCCTTTGCAGAGTGGGAGAATCACTCTCAGTTACCCGATAAAGGTGAGAGTGGACCAAAATAGGATATCCAAAAACTGGTTCGCTTCCAGAATCTGTCCCTGTTTACAAATTGAGCTGTTCAAAATAGAGTGTTGGACAATCCTTATCCATAATCCATCTAGTATATTGGCAAACCACTACAAAAGGACCGGGTCCCTTTCGCAACCCACGGTATACGGATCCTTCGGCATGCCTTTGAACGGGCCGGCCTTAGTTCAACCCCAAAACGGGCCACCGAAAGGGACGCCCTGATGGCCTGCCGTGCGCGAACTTGCAGTCGCGGCCGTCGGCACAGCTCCCCAGCTCCGTAAAGTCCTAAAAAAAAAAAACGTCGAGGCAGGGTACATAATGTTGACCCAGGATTAGTAATACCTACGGTATACCTACGGTGGATGCCCCGATCCCATATTGCAAGTACGTAAACCAGAATCAGCCACCAAAATCCATGGCCCTACCATATTGCACACCGCAATGTTGACGCAGGATTAATAAACCCGTCCCATTATTAGGGGAGTGTTCCCTCCAAAGGTGGTCTGAATCCCTAAAGGGGACACCCGATCAAAATCAACCAGGGGTTTATTAAGCCGGGGTTAACATAAGAGAATCTGAGAAGGGAACCTTATCTTTTTTTTGGCCGGGGAGGAGGAGCTGACCCCAATAAGATCCGCCAAGGGTTCAATAATCAACTGGGTTCCCTTTACATGCCAAAGAAACCACTAAGGCGAATGTTGGACAAACGAACCGGCGGGTATACAGAGGGAGTGGGGAGATGGGGAGATTCCTTGGCGCCATTTCCCATATCAAGCTTAGTCAAGGTGCCTGGTTCCCCCCGTATCCCTGCTGGTTGGTTTCCCTTATAATGATCCTGGTAGAGAAGGGAACCTGCTCTTTTTAGGGGAGGAGCTGACCCCAATAAGATCCGCCCAGGGTTCCATCAACTGGGTTCCCTTTGGATGCCAAAGAAACCACTAAAGCAAAAAGGATGCATGAAGGGTGAACTTGCCTGTTTTAGGGTTCCCGCGTTTCACGGGGGAGCCACATATCCATACGTCCCAAGCAGTCTTGTCTTCGTGCAGAAACATGCCAAATCCACGTGGGTCTCCGACCATGTTCCGAACAGATTCCCCCCCCAAAAAAATGGCTGTGAAGTACAGCTAGAACAAAACAACTTTCAGTGGTCATAGATTAAACCAAAAGGAGCTTTGTGGCGTTACACTCCCTCAGACTAATTAACATGGAAGCTCCCAGAAGGCCTCTGTTGAACTAAGTCTTCCAAAAAGGTCCTCTGAGCTTCCATGTTAGTCTGGGGGAGGGTATCCAAAAGGGGTTCCCTTTGAGACACGGAACCAACAAAATGAAAAAGCTCACGCCCCGCAGCCAACGAACGGCCAAAGCTCTGCACAAAGCCGTGTCTTCGAGAAGTCCGGCTGGCTCCGGAGCTGGTCCGTGCCGTGGGCGAAGGAGCACGCAAGGCCACGGGTGCACGCGCCCAGCGCGAAGAACTTGCAAAGCCTCCGGCTTTGATTCATCGGGGCTGGGGAGGCCGACATAAGCCCCGAACAAGGTCTTGGAGGCGAAAAAAAAGGCCTCCCTCCCCCTCCCCTCCCCCCCCCCTCCCCCCCCCATGAGAGATGGGAACCCCGGAAATCGAATGTACCCGTTCGAATGGATGCCAGTAGAAGCCCTCCCAAAAAGCTGGTGGGGGCCCGCTCAAGTGGTCTGAAGCTGCTGAATCCGGGTTGCCATTGAGCAGGCTTTGGTAAGAAATGGGCAAAATCTGTTCCAGGGCAAACCATTATCAATACTTCCCCACCTATGCCCGAAACCTTCGTCCAGAGTGACGTCGCAGAACGTTTACGTCGCGATCAAACAAAATCGTTCGTGGCCATGGGGCCTCTTCTTCTTCCCCAGCTGAGAGCGATGGGGAAAGGTCGCTGCCCAGGCTCGTGATTTGGTGATTTGGGGCAGCTTGCGATCGGGAGGGCGTAGGAGTAAACCCCAAGTTCCAAGTTCCGGGCCTGGGGATACCTCGGCTCTGGATGTTAAAAGGAAAGCCCAAGGAAACAGAAGGAATCAACAGGCGAGGAAAGTGGCCTGAACTTTCCAGCCATCCGTGGGGCATTGGTCTCCATGTCCTGTGAGGTAAAGTCAGAAACTGGTGGGTGGTTTCCCTTGAACCTACCACTTAGGGGCTGACTTTGAGAATGGTCAAAGACTGAGGGCAGTATCAAAGACCTCAAATAAGATGACGTTTGGAGCCCAATTGAAGGAAGCCCAGGCCTGGTCTTCTTGTGTGCTTCCAAGCGCTTTCCTAGCTCCTTGACGGCTGACATCGCGCAAAGCTACGAGCAAACCCCGGAATTCCCCCAAAGGCAACGCAGCACTTCGAGCAAAACGCCTGCGGACATGATCCCCTCAAAAAGTGCAACGTACATGCGCGAAAGACATATCGATATGAAGGTTCTAGACTCATGGGCCCTTGTAAATGGACCCTTCATTTGTCCCACTTGCGTAGCCCGTACATACCCCCCTGTAGGCAGTATACTGCGAGTCTCAGCTTTGCCCATGGTGTCTATATATCAGAGGCATTCGCAATAGCTTTTGCACAAGGTGTCCTCCTCTTGACGCGCAGTTGGGTTGAGGGACCCGCCCATGTGTCCAACAAAGGTCAGGGGTGCTTGGCGGGAGGTGGCTGGGGCCACCACCTTCTGGCTCCACTTGAACCAAATACCAGTTGTTTCCACAAACTTTGCCCAGCTCTGCTAAAAGCAGCGGCCTGCGTACCGAACTGTATGCACACCATTGCACCACCACTTGGAAAAAAATGAGGGTGCATTTTGCAAGTACGGCTGGCTTTTCGCGAATAACCCCGTTGATTCCCTAATCCAAAGCAACTGGAGAGCACCTAGAACACGTATTAGACTTCGATAAGAGTCCTTTACGAGCTTGTCAAACATTGATTTGCCAACCTCATTTTTCCCGTTTGAGGAAAAGCACACCCCCAGTGACTCTGGGCTTCACCCTTTTGGGGAACCCACCATAAAGGGAAAAAATACCCCCACTGAGAGGGGCTCTTGTGAAAGATGGTGCGGAAAGCTGCGGGCAAGCGAGCACAAAGCCAGCAAACGGTCATGTGTTTTCGCCGCGCGCGTGCAAAACGTTTCCATTCCTTGGTTTCATCGGTTTGTGGGGGTCGAGGATGAGTCCAGCTTGAATCTTTTTATCCGGCGGACCCGTCCTCTCAGTTTATCTTCTCGACACTCCCACGTTGACCTAGCCACGGTCAATATTACAAGGTGAAAATCGGCAAGACTTCTCTTGGTTGCTTTCTGCTCCCCTGCTAAAAGTGAATAACATTTAGTGGTTTAATACGGACAAACCCTAAGTTGGCAAAAAACCAGTTGTTCAGTCCGAACATCCCTTCGCAAAATGCAACAAAGTTCTCCATTTAGGTTTTATCCTCCGAGAAGGGACTCGTGCCACACAGTTGCAACACTTCTCGAGTTTCCTCATGGTGTACCCACTGTCACCTCACTTCCGGAGTGGATTGATCAAAAGCCTGAAACTGTTTCTAGGTCCAGATTTGAGAGGATAGAATAAGGGTACCCGATTTTTTGCTGTATTCTATTTTAGTAGGGGAACCCTCCCCCCAAAAAGTGTAAAAGGGCACTGGGAGACCTAGGTTTGTTTGACTGCAAAAGGTTCTCCCAAAAAAGCTTGACGTTCAGGATCTCAGGGAGCCAGTATTATTTCTACACATCTATATCTATGTTCAGATTCCGCTTTCATGTTCACTCTATGCGCTTCGATTGAAAAAAAAACACGCCAGGTATTGGCCGTGCATTTTGCGGGAGCCTCGGCCTTTGAAAGACGACAGGGGCATATGGAGCCTCCGCCAACCAAAACTTCGGTCGAACCACCGCCACTCTCCGTCTCGCTCTCTCTCGCTCCGGCGAGAGACATTTTGGAGATGGGAATTCCAAAGGAATGCAAATGAGCCACGAAGATCTGCCTCCATTTGCTTAAGTCCCCTGGAAAAAATATCAACATATTTCCAGTAGTGATAGATTCCCTTTAAAACCAACAGGGGAAATATATAATAATAATATTGATAATAATAATAATAATGATAATAATAATAATAATAATAACAATAATAATAATGATAATAATGATAATAATAATAATAATAATAATAATAATAATAATAATAATAATAATAATAATAATAATAATAATAATAATAATAATAATAATAATAATATTAATACTAGTAATAATATCAATACTAATAATAATAACAATAATAATAATAATACATATCCTTAACCAAATGAAAGTCTGGAATTCCATGTATGTGAATTAGAAACAACGCCTGAGTTTGAACTGAACCATACTGGGTACGAATGATTTGGGAATGCAGTGCCTCCGGTGTCTGACGTGGTCAGGGACCGGACCGCTGAAACAAAAACATGCCACGGAGACCCAAAGCACAAGAGTGGGGACCCGTCCGGCGCAGAATGGGCATCTGCTTAAATCCTTGAGGTTGACGTTGGAAGGGGAGCAAAAAAAACTTTAGCAGATAAGTGGGGATTTCCAACTAAGCCACAATAAGCATAAATGCAAAATGTTTTCCAACAACAACCATGAAACCATGAAAACAACAGGGGAACAAACGCTGAACAAGCATGGCTAACATATCCATGAGCCTAGGACCAGCATTGGAAAGGCTATGCAAGGCTTGGCGAATCCTAGGCAAAGCAAACAACAATGAACGGGTCAGGATAAAGAACTACGGAAATAATGGGAAAGGGCTAAGGAACAAGCCCTATCAGAACAGACAATCATATGTTTGGGTTGGCTCAGGCCAGCATGACCCAGGACACATAAGTTTCCAACCTCACTTCAACAACTCACATGGGTATAAACTTCAATTGTTCGGACCCTTGGTCTGGCCAGCAACGGCCAGCGGGTGCCCATCGGAATTCCCAGTCCACAAGTGACCCGAGCTTTGCTCAGGCATTGAATGACTTGCCGTCAGCTGCCCGTAATTGGTGGGGACTCCAACAGCCAGCGGGTGGGCAACGCAAGCAGGGGAATAGAGTACAAGTGGCTTGAGGAAAGTGCACACTTGCACCGGCTCACCATCCGCAGCAGCCCGGGATTAAACAAAAACAAGGTCTTGGCTCGCAGTGCCTCAGTGCCTCTGCGAGACGAGGCACTGATACCACGAATGAGAATGAACCGAACACGTCACCTCTTCGCTTTGCCCGTCTCCCTGGAAACATGTCTTCCTTGCAGGTGTTCCTGTGCACTTTTGTGTTTCTGGGAGGGTAGACGGTAGACGTAGTTAGCTGCCCGAGAAGCAATGTGAGCAAAGGTGCTCTTCAGCACGCGAGCCATGGCCTATGCGCTCTCAGAGCCTTGAAATAAAAGCGGGAGAAACTCAGTTGCCCAAAGGACCTGTTTAAAGGTGATCACCTTTTGGGACCTCTACTAAAAATGGGATCCCAAGGGAGAAACCAAAAGGTCAGATCCGGTCGGCTTCGGCTAACTGAGTTGAAAAGGGTCCAAAGGAACCCCAGGGCGCAGCAATTTTTTTTGGCCAGGGCCAAGACTTCGGCCGAAGATCCGAAGATCCGATCCGTCCCCTTCAGCGTCCTGGATGAACGGGATTGAACGGCCCTCGGAAACGGGTCTGACCCGTTTCTCTTCTTCCTTCCTTTTGCGGCACCTCGTAGCCGCCGGCGGATGCCGGGACTACGCCGCACCTTGAGGGTGGCGCATTGGCAGCCGCCATAATTAAATAAGTCCAACACCTGAAGCTCACTGAGAAGTGAACTGTCTTCACTATGGCCTCTAATCAACCACTCGGTCAACTGGAAATATAGACAAGGTGCACCCAAGAACACAACTTCACCATGGGTGGGAAAAGCCTGCAGGCTTCATCCTCCCATGTCGAGGCTCATGCTGTGCGCAGGGGTTTCACAACACCGCCCAAAAAAGCACGGTTTTTCGCTGAAACCTCAATGCGAGCCTCAGTGGCCATTGGAAAAGGGGCACTCCTCTAAGGGACCTCTCCATGGACACGAGGGCACCACATTCAGAGCACGTCAGCCACGTTCCAAGCCGGGCTGGCCGGCGTCCGCTCGCGGAGGGGAAGGGTTACGGGTCCCCACGGGAAAGGCGATGCGTCCAAGCCTCTTCGCAACCTCGACGCATCGACGTTGGGTTGCAAATGGATCAAAACTCCTGTCCCAAACCAGCACCCATTTGACTCTCATTTCACCCAGTGCAAGTTCTCTGCTCTGCAAAAGCCTCGTTTTATGCTGGTTCATTGCCAATCTCTGGTATTCAGCCCTTGTCCCGTTGGGGATTCAACCTCGGACCCTCCAACACCTCCAAGTTTGGTTAAAAAATTAGCATCTGGAAAAATGCTCGTCGTAGCCGAGCATTTCCCGACGAGTACGCATCTATGCCTTTTGGATCAAACCACAAGCGTTGCCATACTGGCCGCTGGTGCGCGGATGAGCGGGCCGTGCGTTCGGAAACGCCCATGTGCACTGATCCGAGCCAGGCTCACTTTGCATCTATCAGCCTACCAGGGAATCCAAAGCTGAATGCCTATGAAGCCGTAAGTTCCTAGATTCTGGGAGCATGTCCCAATTTGGGACACAGGCGTCTTTAAAAAAACCTCCCCATTTCGAAGCCTCAACTTTCTCTCCTTGCCTCCCCCCCAGAGCAAAAACGAGTTTTTCTGTTGGCGGGTGAAAAAAAACACCAGCGTTCCAAAAAAGCTCCAGGTTCAAGATTCGAATCTTTTTGCTTAAGTCCACTGGAAAGAATGAACCTATTTGCAATAATGAGAGATTCCCTTGAAAAAATAGAGGGAAATAACATTATTGAGCGAATGGAAGAAACACGAAGCAATACTAGTAATACTAGGTTTGCATGTGTGAGCATGACTCCATTCCGCCGCAAGCGGCGAATTTTTGCAGCTCAGCCCAAACATAGGTCAAACTGAGCCAAACTGAGTCCCGCAAGGCGTGACACAAAAATGATTGGGTGCAACATATGGGTTGGGGGCGATCATAAAATGCCGTGGCTTTCTTTTGAAGGGTTATTCAATGTCATGAAGCTTGGCACAACGGCTCCATGACTCATTTTGCACCCACCGTACTCGGCCAAAACTGGAAAAGTCTTTCACCGCGGGCACGACCGCGAGCGTCTCACGGGAAGTTCATCGCTCTCTGTCTTGACCTTCAAATCGAGAAACGTGTTTCTCACCTGAAGGAGCAGGTGAGAACAAGGTCCCAGCCCAGCAACCCGAAAG